TAATGGTGTTTGTAAATAGGATCACAAGTCCGCATCTTGTACAGCAATTAACCACTAAGAAGAATATATGCAGTGTGTTATTTGTTGAAACAGTACTTCTGATTTGATTTGAAACTGTCTCATTACTGTTTATCAATAAAACTTTGGAAAAAAAAATAAAGTGATGGGAGGCGTTGATAATCATTAAAATGGATTCTGACACTAAAAGAATTATTAATAAAGCATAGGATATGAGTTTTTTTGTTTTTGTTTTTGTTTTTTTTGCTGGCGCAGGCTGCCTTAGTGGCAGGTGTGGTAAGGCATGTGGTGCTGGGGATCAAACCACAGTCCCCCATGCCTGACTGGGTTTGCCCAAGTAGGTGCTTAAACAACTGAGCTAACCAGCAAGCCCCCAGGATATGAGGGAAAAAAAGACAAAAAAAAAAGAAAAACACCTCACTTTTGAGTATTTCAAGCGATACTTCAAGGTTTTTTAAAGCTAATACTGAAAGGATGGGGACATAGCTCAGTGATAGAATGCTTGCTTAGAATGCAGGAAGCCCTGGTCTAACCCCAGCACTGTGACAAAAATGCAGATTAGTGTTGATGTGAAAAAAGGAATCTTGTATATACCAGAAGAACGTAAAACAGGACAGTCAAAGCAGAAAAACTTGGCAATTCCCTCAAAAAGTTAAAGACATAATTACTACAGGTTCTGACAATTCAACTCCTACATTATACTATACCAAAGAGAAATAAAAACATGTATCCACACAAAAACTTATAATACAACTGTTTGTGGTAGCCTTATTGAGAAAAGGTAAAAACCTAGATGTCCACCAACTAATGAATAGATAAATACAATATGGTATATACCACACCATAAACATTACTTGGCAATAAAAAAAGAATGAAATACTGATAATATGCTACAACACAGATGAACTATGAAAACATTATATAAGTGTAAGAAGCCAAGGGGAAAATCCCACAAATATCCTATGATTTCAGTTCTACAAAATGTCCACAACAGTCAAACCCACAGAGACAGACTGGTGGTCTGGGAAGAGGGAGGAAGATGCTCAGGAGAGATGGAGAGTGATGTGAATGGTTTTTGGGTTTTTTTTTTTTTTTTTTTTTTTTGGCAGAACCAGGAATTGAACTCAGGCCCTTGCACTTGCCAGGCAAGTGCTTATTCTACTGAACTATCTCCCTGGTCCCTGAGAGTGATGTGAATGGGCATGGGGTTTCCTTTGGAGTTAATGAATGCTCTAAAATTGGTGATGAGGCCAGGGAGATAGCTCAGTAGAATAAGTGCTTGTCTGGCCAGAGCAAGGTCCTGAGCTCAATCCCCAATACCACAAAAATAAATAAATAAAGTAAAACTGGTGGTGATAACGGTTCACAGCATTGTCAGTATGTCAAACACACACAGCTCAAATGAGGGAGCTGGGTGGCCTGTGGCCTGCCCTGAAAGCTTACCTCTCACAGACTCTGTAGCCTTCATTGATGCTCACTGCTTTGTACTTCACATTGCCTTTGGTACGCTCCAATTCCCAGCACCAGTCCTTAAGAGTGTCAAACATCACCGTATGGTTCCTGGGATCAGTGGCTAACACAACAAAATTAGAAAGACAATAAATAAAATCGGGGCCGGGAGATGGCTCAGTAGAATAAATACTTGCCTAGCAAGCACAGGGGCCTGAGTTCAATCCCCGGTTCCACAAAAATAAATAAATAAATAAATAAATAAATAAAAATAAATAGACAGCACCTGTCTGAAATAAGAACAAAAACCACCACAACAACAAAAAACCAATCCTGGGAAGGTAGATACCCTCTATTAGTATCAACCTCACATTAGATCTCATGGGCACAGGAGTTTCTAAGCCCTTTGTAAGAGGTAGTTTTCCCCTTCTCAACTGGGAAAGAAGAGAAAGAAAGACAGGGCTGACACTAAGACTCTGGGGGGTCAGGAGCACTTGGGCTCATTGCACTGCGTGGGGCGTCCCCTCCAAGGGCCTGGCATTGATCTAATAAAAGCTGGGCAGGCATGGTGGTGCACAAGTGTAATCCCAACATTCAAGAGACGGGCAGGAAGATCACAGTGAGTTTGAGGCCAGGCTGGGCTATGCAGTTAGCTCAAGGCCAACCTGAACGACATAGCAAGACCATGTTTGAAAAAAAGTAGCTCTCCACAGAACGACACTTTATTTATGTATGTACACTACACTTTATACTTTTATAAAGTTTCACTTTATGAAACTGTTAGCAATTTGCTAGGAAGAATGTTCCAAAGTGATAAGATTCAAGTTTCTAAAAAGAGATCATGCAGAGTCACCCCTTAAAAATGTAGGTCAGATCACTCCCTGCCTCTGTTCAAACTCCCCCTCATTTCTCAGACTCAAAAGGATAAATTCTTCCAAAAGCATCCAGAAAGCATACAACATTCCCCTCTCCTCCTCTTCTCTCTCCCATGCCTCTTCCCAAACCAACTCAATCCTTCTCTTCCTTTACGACCTCTCTCAAAGACTACCTACTACCTCCTCCTGAGGCCTTCCTAACCAATCTTCTGTCATTTCCAGCACACCCTACCCTGTACCTGCTGTTTTTCTCCACAACCGTAGAGAGAGAGAGAGAGAGAGAGAGAGAGAGAGAGTGTGTGTGTGTGTGTGTGTGTGTGTGTGGTGTGAGAGAAACAGAGACACAGAGAAAGACAGAGAGAGAAACACAAAGAGAGAGCTAGAGAGACAGAAAGAGAGAGACAGAGAAAGAGAGAGAGAGGCAGAGAGACAGAGACAGAGATGCCAGGGATGAAGCCCAGGCCTTCATACATGCTAAGCAAGCACCCTACCACTGAGATACAGTCCCAGTCCAACTGAAGGTGATTATTTTTGTTTTTAAGCCAAAGATTGAATTCAGGACCTTGCGCACAGCAGGAACACACTTCATCACTCCAACTCCCTAGCACTTAACTTTTAATATATTACTTCACTTTCATTTATTTATTCTACCATTGCCTTCCTCCCACTAGAAAGATAAGACTGCTCTAGGAGATACAGGCTGCAGAGAAACCAAGGCAAAAGAAATGAAAAGTTCAAAGCCAGCCACGACTACAGAGTGACACTGCCTCACAAAACAACTACCTAACAGATTAAAGTGATGGGAGGAAAAAGCTACAACTCTTGTTGCATAGGTCTTGCTTTACCTTGGTCTTAACCATCCAGTAGAAAAGTATGAAGTCGAAATATAAGAAATAAAGCCATGCTGTTAAGTTGAGCTGTGGGGGACTC